TATTTTTTTAAGATTGCGCCCACTACCCCTTCATAATTTAGACCCATAGTAAAACCTCATAAAAATTGATTAGATGTTACATTGACCTCTTTTGATTGCAAAGATGCATGTCATGTGATCTGCACATGACTTTTAATGAATTTTTCTCTTCCCAAAATTAATGCCCTAAAGTTCTTTAACTGCTCCACCCACCTTCCCCCTTCCCTTGGTTCTCTCAACTTCCTTTCTACTCTTTGCACCCTCCACCTCATTTATTGCACCATCACTACCCACAACCTTAGCCCCATCCACTTCTTCCTCGCCATATAACCTCAATATTTTGATTTTAGTATAGCGAGTTTAATTATTCTTTATCTCCTTGTGATACAACTAATTCCATATTCTATCTACCTTGATTGATTAGTATTCTTTATTAAACATTTTATGGGAACACATTTTTCCTTTGGCATCATCCTACCTTGATGCTTAATTTTTTTTTACGATTTATTACATCAAAATATAATTTTACCCATTCCATAAAAGCCCAACCCATAGTTAATACTCTCTAATTAACCTTGTTTCTATAATTTCTGAAGGTCATTTTTATTCATATTGATTCATTGGTCACGTTGATAAGTGATTTTGGGGGCCGATAGGTGAGGAAGAAATGTGTGGGGGTGAAGGTGTAGGTGGTGATGGTGCGGTTAAGGAGATGGAGGGTGCGAAGAGTGGAGAGGAAGTTGAGAAAGGCAAAGGAGCGATAAAGGTGAGTGAAGTAGTTGGTGAAGATGAAGACATTTAAGGAGAGAAAAATTCATTAAAATTCATGTGCAAGTTACATGACATGAACCTTTGAGGTTAAGGGAGGTCGATGTAGCATCTTTTCAACTTTTAAGAAATCTTACTATAGGTTTAAATTATGAAAGAATATCAGACACAATCTTAAAGAACCAATATAAGAGACAACCCAAACTAAAGATGAATATATCCCTTTCAAAAACCAAGCACAAATCATAAACCCAACACAAGTTACTGATTTGCGTGAAACTAAACTCAATTTCTTAAGATTTTTCAACTATTTTAATAACTATATTATTAGTATAGAATATATATCAGGTTTGTTGATGACAAATTTTCATCGAAAAACATGACTAACTACATATAATAGAATTTTCCTTTCCAATCATTTTTTTTTATCTATAAGACTTAAATTCAAAATTTTCTTTAAGGAAATCAAATCCAATATTATTCACACTAATGACTTGTTAGTAAGTAAGATTTTAAATTTTTTTAATACATGAGTATCAAACATATGTATTAAAGAAACTTAGACTACTCGTCCACCCCACTCAACTAGGTAAGCTAAACTTGTCAATTAATAAATATGAATAATAAGAAAATTCTAAAAGAAATAATTATTAATGAAATTCTAGATGGATAGGTGTAGAAGCAATTTGTCAAGAGTCATACAACATAACAAATGTAAAAGATTAAAAATATTAGATAGGTTCCTTTCTATAGCCACATTATCGGCCGAAGGTGATGGCATAATCAAATTAATTAATTAATATAGCATGCGTAGCCACTAATCCACCACAACTAATCAATGTTGTACTTTATCTTCCACGAAACCTTTATTTTATTTTTCTTGTTATTTTAACTAGCTTTGCATAAAGTCTCCACAATTCTAAAAGTATTTAAATACTAATATTTTTTTTTTACAACAATACTAATATTTTAAGATATGATAATCGGTTTTCCTCAACGGATTATTGACAAAATTGGCATAAGCTACCAGACAAAAAGGTAACAAAATTAATTGTGAAACATAATGTAATAATTCAGTTTTACGAATTCCACAATTTATTATCAAGTAAATATCAATTAAAAATTAATATGTATTTGCGGCGAGTAACTTTTACCAATTAAAATATTATTTTAATATTGATGAAAATTGAATTTTAAAATATTATAACCTGTATTTCAAATCAGACTTTATAATTGTTGAGTCAAAAAAAATTTGATTTATTTAATTAATGTAATGTAATATTTTTATAACTAAAATTGGTTCAAATAATAATATAATACATTTTATAAAATAAAAAAAGGTACTTCGTATTTTCATATATTTTTTTGAATTTTTTTTAAAATTTAAAGACAATAATATTTGATATAAAAATGAAAATAAAAAAGATGATTATTAAAATCTATTCTATTTATAGTAGATATAGATGATTGTGATCCAATTTCAATATAAATTTTTTTTTATATTATTAATACATAACTTTTTTTCTCATACAAATATAAAACCTGAACTACATAATCATATTTGCAGCCACATCACAATAATCATTTTTGGTCGCATCATCATAATGATATTGTTCATGTGTTGATTTTTTTGCAATTTCAACTGCATGTGTAAATGTAAGGAGAATTGCAAAATCGAGAGAGTTGACATACAATGTGTTATTTCTTCCTTTTATTTCACTCTTCTTAATATTTTCTCACTCCATAATTTGGGATTTGGCAATCATTACTCTTCCATTGAAAAATCTAGCTTTTGGTATTTCATTTCAGTATTGCATGAGTTAATTAATATAGGTGAAAAATAAAATAAAATAAAACTAAAATTACGATTTTCAATGGTGTAAACATAAGCATAATTGAGAAAGTTGACTTGTGTGGTATTCTTCCTTCCCTTTTCATTGTTCTTAATTTTTTCTTCTTTGTGCATTATTTTAGATTTTAAAATATTTGTAATCGAATTAAATTAAGTGACTGTGTGTTTTTGTAAAATGGAAATTCATTAGCAATTTTTTTTTTTTATTAATATGCTTTTGCCCGTTTTAGACCACAATTTTTATTGATTGTTTAAGAATAGTTATGATATTTTTTTTGCCATCATTGTATTTGCGACATTTGATCGTGAAGATAGACAAATGAGAAACCCAAAACAAAAAGTCATTGTTGGATGAAAATCAAAAGTGATCACAAGTCAACTTTATAGAATTTTTATAAAACTTATTTCCTTATCTCATTCGTCAAAGCATAATAAAATATACCGTGAAGATTAAAATACAATAAAATTAAAAGTCTTAAATTACAATGCTACAGAAAAATTCATAAATAAAAAATTACCATAATTTCCATAACTACTATAAAATCAAAATTCTCTTTAGAAAAATAGTGACCTCTTTTTTCCACACATATATATATATACATATATATATATATATATATATATATATA